ATACGAAAAGAAAACGGGATTATATTCAATGTCTGAGCCTCTTAAATTTAACAACCCTAAAAGAATTTTACAAATGTTATTTTAAAATTTCATTATTATTATTAGTAAATTAAAATAAATAGTTTAATAATATTTTACATGCTATTTCATCCAGTGCGGTAATAACGAGAATTTTAGCTTTTTTCTCTTTCATTAAAGCTCTTACTTCATTTATTTTCGTTTTGGAAGTTTTTCCTAAAAAAAATTTAAAAAAATTATTTATAATAAGTTTTAAATTGCAGTGACTGATAGTTTTATGTTATTCCATAATAAATTTGTAAGTTGTCTTACCGCTGTACTTAAAAGGCAGGGGTTCAATAATTGAATTGGGGGGTTCAGGTTTATTTTCCCAAATGACATCTATAAGATTCGTACTAACAGGCACAAGGTTAAGTCCTGAAGATTCCAATTCTGTTTGTAGTATAATCCATTTATCATATTGCATGTATTTAGGATCAACTCCAACTCTGCTGCCTTCTGGTAAATTTTGAACCAACCAAATTTCTTGACTGGGAGTAGATGGAGTACCTAAAACAGATCTATTAATTAGGTTTATGTTTATCTTTAATGTTTTAAAACAGTACTCATAAGGTTTAAAGTATCATTTGAATGCTAAAATTAGAAGTACTTAAAAAAAGTTTTTCATACAAATTAACAAAGAAATAAGACTTGTGAAAACTTTTTTCAAAATTTTTGATAATAACAACTAATCGTTAGATTAATTTATATGTTGATTTATAAATTGAAACGGTTTTTAGATTGTTATTGTTAATTTTTGATTACCTTCTTTCATTAATGTCCAATATTCACTATCTAATTCTTTGCTGGCTTGAATAAAATAACGTCCATCCGTCCATAAACAAGCATGTTTATCTGTTATAATGGCAGTGCCGTATGAGCCAGTAAAGCCAGAAATAAATGATCTTCTTTTATCACATTCTGCCAAATATTCACTCTGTAACAAGAAAAATTAATGTAAATAACAATACAAATTTTAAAACATAAATGAAATAGTTTTAATTAATAATTACACACTGAATGGGAGTCAGTTTCTGGAACTATGTAAGCATTTAGTGGTTCATTTACATAAGTAAGATTTTTCATTAAAGCTCTCAGTTTCTTAAGCGCAGCAGCAGATTTCATTTTTGAGTCTGAAAACAAAATTAATAATTATACAACTACTTAATACTTGAATAAAATATTTAACCAATCAAGTTACACTTGCTACCTAAAGATATACCACTTTCCTCAATAAATTAATTTTAGTAAAGATTTAATACGTTACGTGTAATGCAATCAACAGCAAATATTACTTTAAATTGATAAACTTATCAGCGTAGAATTATCTATCAATCGTGATATTATAAAACCGATTTTATTTAAAATATATTTGTTTAAGTACTTCATTGGATTAACAAAAAAAAGAACCATGAAAAATCAAATTTATTTAAAATTAT